AGTGATCTCAAATATAAATGCAATCGGGACTCCAAAAGTCTAAATTTTGAAATAATTGTAGGCACCAAGCAATTAATAGGCCGGAAAACTCGGGTGGATCAAACATTGGACTTTACTTTTCTAACTACTGTATAATTAAGTATGAGAAACAGTTCATCTAACATTAACATGTCATTAAAATTCAAATTTTAAAGTAAATTTTCAACCCATGTAGTGGCGTTGTAAGAATATCCACCATCCTACTTCATCCCTTGGATATCGTGAGAGGCGACAGTGGGAGACGGAGCCAGGAGACGGGCAGTAGCGTCTTCATGCTGACAGCTAAATAGAAATGCCACACGACCCCGCTAACCCGCTAACTCGCTAACCCTAACCCGTTCGCCGGGACGACTAGGACAAATAATTATCCCCCCCCCCTCCCCTTGAGGTAATCTATGGTGGAGGCCAATATTAAGAATATCTACTTATTGAAAGTCATTTAAACTTTATCATCATTTAGGAGGAGATAAGCTGTATTGATATGGAAGGGTTTGAACACTTATCTCCCTCCCACAGAATTGTCGTGCCCAATAACACTACAGTTAAGTAACTTATTTGTTTATTAAACAGGTATCCTGGATACGGTCAAGCGACCTGCAGATACTAACTCACGCCGGGACCGTATTCACGGCGGATTCTCGTGTCTCCGCCATAACAGGCGAAGCTGCTGATGATAGAACGGACGATAATCCCGACGATGAAGGGGATGACGGTTGGGATGACGGCTGGGATGATGAATCGGATGATGTACCGAATGTTCACCAATTGGACTCGGACGTGATAGTGGAGAAAGGTGTTGAGACGGTTCATACGCTACGTATTGAACGTTTGCGGCCGTCCGACTCAGGCCGTTATGAGTGTCAAATTAACACGGAGCCCAAAATGAGCCTGTTTTTCAATCTGACTGTCGAAGGTAAGCTATTATAAAACTGTACTAAGATTTAAATACCTAGATGATTACACTGAAGAATTACATAATTATTATAAGATTGGCATTTTGTTTCGACCAAAATCCCAAAAACGAAGAGGAAAGAGAGAATGACATAGGTAACATGGTAAAAAGTGTAAAATTTTCTTTTATCTCAAATCTGTGCACGGTATTTATATCTATATTTTAATTAGCCACAAATAAAAAATATCATACTGAATTTAATGCAAGTCTTAACTATACAACTACTATATATAAACCTCAACAAGTCGACCACACTTGTTTCGCGTGCGAGGTGTGCAACTTTTAAATACTTACAATTTAAGATAAGTTGAGGGATTCGGATTTAAAACATTAAAAGTAATTATTGGTTTCAAAATGATGATTGTATTGCGCGCACATTATGATCATGATAATTATGAAAGGGTAAAGTACACAAATACGATTTCGGGTCACGCAGTTAATATTGTAAATAGTCAGGAGCTCTTACTAGTAGTTTGCGTACTCGTTTTTGATAAGCATGGGGTTTTTATTTATTAAGGACAATAAACATTTGTATAATAAAACTTACAATTCCAACTTTATAAACAGATTAGTCAATTACACAACCAACACCGTTATCCACAAAATTACTGCATTAATTAAAAATTAAAAGGCACAGCGAACACAAAAATAAAACGAGAGACAACAATGCATACCTAGCTGTTAACAACATAATCATGAATGTTACATATATTACTTAAAAACCAATTTTGATTAACGTTATAAGATTAGAAGAAATTTTTTTAACCTGCAAATGAGCTAACTTACTACCTGTTAGTAACTGGCCGAGAAAATTTATCACTACGTATAGTATATGGTTGCTGCAGACCTGTATTCAAGTTTAAATAAAGAAGAACTGATGTGTCCTCATCCCTGAGAAAGATATGAACTATCTCGTAAATTTTAATTGAACAGGCTCGCTTATCCATCAGAACAGCACTCAACATTGCGCTCTCAGATTATAGAAAAATGAACCGCGAGGTACAAAAGCAGGTTGACAGATGATTGCGTGAACTACTTCACGTCACTGTGAAAATGCGTGTGTTTGCCAGGCTAATGAAAAAAAATCCCAATTTTTATCGAATATGCAAAGCGTAATCGTAATTATCAGTAGGAAATGTTTAATTTAATATAAATTAAACATTTCCTATTTTAAACTTTGGTCCCTTGGAAGAGAGGTAAAGCCCTTGTCCAAAATACTTGAACGCATAATGAACAACAGGCTCGTAAACTATTTGGAAAAAATAACTTACTATCGCCTTCACACTATGGTTTTAAGTCAGGAAAATCTACGTCCGATGCGATTCATGACCTTACAAATTATATTGTTACAAACTTGGACAATGGGAAGAAAGTTCTCGGCATTTTTCTAGATCTTGCCAAAGCTTTCGACACAGTTTCTGTACCCATACTTTTACGTAGGATGGAGAGTATGGGAATTAGAGGTACTCAACTGCGACTTTTTGAAGACTACTTGAGTGGACGTACTCAGTGCGTTCAGGTGGATAAGTTCATCAGTGCCGAATGCACAACTACCTATGAAACGTCCCAGGGCAGCGTACTTTCTCCAACCTTATCCCTCATATATATTAACGAACTGGGTATGCTCACACTCCCTAAAGGGCGGATCATAAGTTTTGCAGATGACACTGTTCTCCTTTTTAGTGCAAGTCCATGGCAAGAAGTCTATGCGTACGCCCAGTTGGGCTACAACACTGTCTCAAATTGGCTTCGAAATAACGTACTGACACTGAACATAGAGAGCACGGCTATAGGTCTATAGTTATCGGCACGATCTCTGTCACCACCCTTATAAATCGGGTGTATAATCGACTTTTTAAAAGCTTTAGGAATTTTCCGGTTGTGAGAGCAAGATTGCAGATATATGTCATGGGTGGGACAACTACATTAATATGCATTTTAAGAAGAAAAGAGGATATTCCATCCCAACCCACAGCACAGTATTACGGAGAGATATTATTAACCTTGCAACCTCGTCCTCATCCGTTGGTAACAATACCATGGACTGTGAGTTGTTGTTAAAGGCTTTTTTTGTTGCCTCTGTCAGTCCACCCAATATCTTTTCTGCAAGATTTTTACCTACGTTAGCGAAAAAATCATTAAATAAATTAACAGATAGCTCCGGAGAAGATGATAAATTGAATAAGTGATGGGATGAATTCTCTTTCTTTTTCGCTCTGTTTGTTATGTTGTTTATTGCTCCCCAGAGTTGCTTAGGATTATTATTAGCTTTTTTTAATTCATTTTTTTCATCTTCCAGTTTAATTTTTTTAACAACTTATTACAATAGTTTCTGTACCTAGTAAAAGATATTTTTAAGACTTCGTTATCTGGCGACTTTTTTGATTTTTTGTGTAAATTATTTCTGTGTCGAATACAGCGTAAAATGCCTGGAGTTATCCAGGGCTTAACGATTTTATTACGGTTTGGTACTTTAACGATTTTTGTGTTTTTTTCGACCGCCTGTTTGATAAGACTTATCATTAATTCTGCTGTTACATGATATGATAAACCACAAATCCTTGCGAAAGAACACCGATTCCTCCCAAGGATGATACGCGAGACTATCCTGATTTTAATAGAGAAGATGGATGGGGTCTGGCATCTGCTTGGGATCCTATAATAAAATTAAATCCAAACCCAAGCATGAAGTTTGAACCAAAATTAATAACTAACTATGACATTGGGACGTCAAACATCTCAGTCGCCCCCGTGACTTTGGGTGCTATAAAGCACCAGAAACGTCATAAATATAAAAATAAGTTAATTAAACGCTGTAAAATCCGTATAAATAGTTTTATTCAATCTGTAGGTTCGCGTAAATATAAGAAATCATTATATTAATTATTTAAATAATTTACGCAACACTAGCCCAGTAGCTTGGTAATAGAAAGTACACTTAGTGAATATATTATGACTAAATAATTATATTGTAAAGGGAATTTTTTACACTATAACATACTCGTATGTGCGATGTTTTATCGAAATCAGCTTAGGTAATAGTTTCTTATATTAACTAAAACAAAGAAATAAACAATATTAGTGTTATACAATGTACATACATCATTACATTCATCGATTTAATAAGTGTCTCTAAACATATTTTGCATTCCGTTCCCTTAAATTTCACAGCAATCAGGTTGCGTTTGTGGCTTTCTGTTACGTGTCCTGCCGCGCTACAAGTGCCTCTTGTTTTATAATCTGACTACGAAGCTGAAATAATGAACTTTTGAGGAAGCCACGTGACTTAACGTTGATTTCATACGTTTTATAGATCTCGATTAACGTTAATGGTTGTATTAAGTGAAGTTGCTGGAGTGCTGAGCTGGCTGGTTTTGTTCTTCTGAGTCTGTGCGATTCACCATGTAGAGCTTCATCACCACTTACTCCCTGCTGGGACTGTAGTCAAGTACTGGCTTATAGTTAGCAACAAAAACATCAAATTAACAAAAAAATTAGTAAATATTGTGTTTGGTACCAATTGAAAGGTCATAACGATTCTGAATATGCAAATTACATAGCACGACTGGTATACATGGTAGAACGTTAATGCGTCTGTGTTATAGTTGTAGCACGAGTGGTTTGGTGCGACCGTGGAAGGATCACACTCTCATAGAATACGAGCGTCAAATAGCTACTCAACGCTACTGTGCTTCAAATGGTCGGTGCAGTGTAGAGAACCGGAGACGTTTTTGCTGGAAAGAGGCATTCCATCTTAGTGCTCACGGGTGACAACGCATTAGCATCTCGATTCGGGATTGGGGATAGATGTAGATGTCTATGGGCCACAGTATCCACTTATTGGATTAGGTTTTAATTTAATAAAACTGAGTAAGTTTTCTAATATTACGTAGCGTTTATGTTACTCATTTTTATATGACTTGATAGCATGAACTCATAAACTGGCAACTGGACAATTACTTATATAGGACATAGATAAAACATATAAGAGCGAATTAGCATTATAAAAATGGAACCAAAACTTAACCGTAAACACACCGTATACAAAGAGGATCTTTAAATTTATTATTATGTAACACCACTTACCATCAGGTAGACTGTGTGCTTGTTTATTACCCTTGTCCTATAAAAAACATATAAGACTAAAATCTCTTTCTAAAAATGGTGTGCAGACTCCGCTGCTGCTGCGACGGAGGTGGAGGTGCGTGCGCTGGGCGGGCGCGTGGTGCGCGGAGCGGTGGGGGGGCGCGGCCACGCTCGCGTGTGAGGCGCGCTACGTGCCGCCCGCCCCGCCCGCTATACTCCCGGCCGTCCTGCCGCCGCTACGGATCCGCTGGCGTCACGCTGGTCACACCGTGGACACACAGGTACTGCCAAAATTTCACTCACGCTTCCTCAGACATCCGGACGGTAATGGAAGGCACAACACCCACCATCATCGCCGGGGACCTGAACGCCAAACACCCGGCGTGGGGGTCCAGAGTGATCACCCCGCCGGGTCGTGAACTGTACGAAGACGCTGAACACCATGACTATGACGTTCTAGGTCCCGAGGAACCGACGCACATTCCTAGCGACCATAGGAAGCGTCCGGATGTATTAGACATCGTGCTCACTAGGAACGTCAACTATCCAGTAGTGGTAGAAGTTAAGACCATAACAGCTGGTGTGCCACAGGGCAGCTGTCTATCTCCAGCCCTGTACGCGGCGTACACTAATGACATACCCACCCTGGCAGGACACTTGCAAGAATGGGAGGACGACGTCGAACTAGCACTGTTTGCGGATGACAGTGCATACTTCACGTCGTCCAGAAGAGCCCACATAGCAGCTGCCAGGATGCAACGTCTGCTGGACCTGCTGCCACCATGGTTGGATGAGTGGAGGATGGCCGTCAATGTTAGCAAGACGACCGCTCTACTCACTCGCCGCTATAGAAACCTACCACCACCGCTAACCCTCAGAGGCCAGGAGATCGCATATGAGAAGGCCGTGACCTACCTTGGATGTCGGATTGACAGGATGCTGCGTATGACTGCGCACGTTGACTCTGCTATACGCAAAGCTCGATGTGCGCGGGCAATGCTACGTCCTGTCCTGACATCCAAGTTACCGACAAAGTCGAAGATAACCATCTATAAAACTTATATAAGACCCCTGCTAACATACGCTGCTCCGGCCTGGTATGCACTCCTGAGCGATCATCAGAAGCGGCGACTTCAGGCCCAGCAGAATTTGTCATTAAGAACTATAGTCGGTGCGGGTCGCTACGTCCGTAATGACGTCATAGCGGCCAACCTCAAGATAGAGAGCCTTCATGAATTCGTGGTCCGGCTGGCGCGCGGTATGTTTGACCGTGCCGACAACGGGCCACATGAACACCTCAACGGCTTCGCGCCGTTGCATGCAAGGCCGCCGGACGGGCGACCTTATCCAAGAGAACTCCTCCCTATATAGATTAGGGAGTTCGAGTAAATCCCTCAATGCCGCAGAAAGGCCAACTTTGACAAATAATTGTGTTATTAAACACAATTAATAGATAACCTCCCTCTCTTATAATTTAACCGACTGCGACAATAGTCGTCATAGCAACGCCTTTAACATCAAGGCGCCCAGGACCGGCACATTGTAGTGTGCCGTGAGGAACATCCGGGTAAAGGGGTACACCCCGAGGCCCGAGACCTGCACGGCATTTATGCCCTGCAGAGGACAGCAACGACGACTCACGCTTACAATTTGTACTTATCTTTAGCATTCTTTTCACTGCTGGGCATAGACCTTGAAGTGGATCGATAGCAAATCAAGAACTCGTGCTGGTTACATAAAATGTTTATTGCGCCACACGGTGAAAATACAAATTGACCGTTAGATTCTTCAAAGCGCGGGACGACTTAAACGTATGTATGTGCACACCAGCGGAGACTGCGGCGACGACTGACCGCCAACAATGCTAGCGGGAATCGCTCACTCTTATCTACCTTAGGGATAATATTACAAATACATACAAGCTTACCTACACATATTTTATAAAATTTATAATAAATATTACATACAAAACAATGCGTCGCCAACACGCCCCACCCCAGTGTCGCCTCAGCGACACTCATCTTCCATGGGTATTCTGGCGACGCGTGTTGCTGGACGTACAAGTGTCCCGGATGGAGTCTTTATTTGAACCACCCTAGTCCTGCCGTCTTTGCCAGGAAAAACCCTTTCGACCACTCCGCGCTGCCATATGCCACGCTGCTCACTTGGACTAACGACTAGGACTAGATCCCCAATTTGTAAAGACCTTTGTTCGCGATTCCATTTACGTCTTGGTAACAGCTCGGGCAGAAACTCCTTAACCCATCGCTCCCAAAACTTGTCCGCCAGGCGTTGTGCGATACGCCACTGTTTCCTGAGGTAGATGTCTGAATCGTCATAAACCCCAATTGTAGGCAAATTGGAGGACGTTCCCAGCAGGAAATGGTTGGGAGTTAAGCTCTCATTACTTCCTGGCTCTACGGAGACATGAGTGAGCGGTCGACTGTTTACTAAGTTTTCGACTTCAGCTAACAAGGTTATAAGGACCTCTTCTCGAGGTGCACGTTCCTTGAGTACGACCTTTAGAGCATTTTTTACAGTCCGTATAAGGCGCTCCCAAGCCCCACCCCAGTGTGGACTGGAAGGTGGAATAAATGTCCATTCTGTGCTGAAGTTTAGTGCTTGATCCTTCAATGCAACCTCATCCAGTTCCTTAATGGATTTTAAGAGCTCCATGTTTGCACCTCTGAGGTTAGTACCATTGTCAGAGAAGATATGTTTGGGCCAACCTCTACGTGCTGACATTCTTCTTAATGCCATTATAAGAGAATCCGTAGTCAAAGAATTGACCACCTCTATGTGAACAGCACGCACGGTGAGGCAAGTGAAAAGTACTCCGTACCTCTTTTCTCTTCTTCGTCCGATAGTCACATCGAGTGGGCCAAACAGATCAACGCCACAATTTGTAAATGGTCGTTGATGGTGGTCCAATCTGGGCTGAGGTAAGTCCCCCATTCGTGGTGGTTCTGGCTTAGCCCTTTGCATGCGACAGAACACGCAGCTGGATGCGACGGTACGTACAGTGGGTCGTAGCTTCAAGATCCAATATTTTTGTTTTAGCTCGTTTACCACCATCTCATTTAATCCGTGCGCTGCCTTCTTGTGGTAATGCTTAACGATTAGTCGCGATATGGAATGCCGTCCGTCTAATATGATAGGTCTCTTGATCTCCAGAGATAAATCAGCAGCAGCATCGATACGGCCACTAACGCGCAAAATTCCATAATCGTCAAGATACGGAGCTAAGATGTGTAGCCTACTGACTCGTTCTAACGGTTTTCTGTTCTTAATTGCAGCTATCTCCTCCGGAAAAGACTGCAGCTGAGCGTATCTGAGCAGAAGTCGTTCAGCTTCCACCATATCGGTACAATTGATCTGACAGTTACTTGTAAATTTTCTGCATCTTTTTATAAATATTAATACTAAAGCGGTAGTCCTCAGCAGGCGAAGCCAAGAAGAGAACCTAGTTGGATCTGGCACGGGTAAGTCTACTACAGAATGTTCCTGTATTGTACTCACATACTCCAACTGCGAACTGCATACTTCGGGCATAAAAGATCCTACGGGCCACGAATTTTCAGAACTTTGCAGAAACTTTGGGCCATTGAGCCACTCTGTAGTAATTGAATTGCAATTAACTGCTTCCCGGGTGGCAACATCGGCTATATTTAACTTCGTAGGAATGTATCTCCATTCATTTGTTTTCTGTATATAGCGTCTGAAACTATTTCGTCCCATCCAATGTTAGCCTTCCAAGTTTCCTGTAACATTATTTTTCCTTTTATAGTGATTGGAGATAAAATTCCATATACATCAAATATTGACATAATTATTCTGAGCATCTCCCGCTTAGTAGGCCGCGTTTTACCACTGCTAATGTTCTCCGGAATGCGCTTGAACGAGACATCAAACCCTAACGTGTCATTATCTGGATACCAAAACAATCCAAGTGTCCTCTCACCCTCTTCGTGCTGACCGATTTTAAACCTTACGGCCGCTGTACCGAGAGACTCTTTTGGTACGGTGTTTAAAACCTCTAAGCTATTGCTTGTCCAGTTTCGGATAACAAAACCGCCTTGTTTATGAATGAAAGAAACATCTTGTACTAATTTCATTGCAGTGTGTTCATCCTCCATACTATCTATATAGTCATCCATGTAATGTTGTTTACAAATCGCATCCACAGCTGATGGGAACGATGACTCGTAACACATTGCATTTTTATTCTTTACAAACTGTGCAATAAAGGGTGAACAGTTTGCACCGAAAATTAAAGATGACATTTCGTATGTTTTTATTGGATCTTTTGGGTTGTCTCTCCAAAGAAAACGAAGAGCGTTTCTGTCTTCGGGACGAATTTTTATTCTTAGGAACATGTCTTTTATGTCTCCGGTTAATGCCACCTTATATTCCCGGAAGCGGAACATGATCCCGAGTAATGACATTAATAGATCTGGACCTTTAAGTAGGTAATCGTTTAGTGACAATCCGTTTGATTTGGCCGCCGCGTCGAAGACCAAACGAAGCTTTTTCTTATTAGGGTTGTCGACTCCGAAATGGGGCAGATACCAGGTCTTGGGACTATTTTGAGCAGCTGCTGGATTGGACACTACCTCAGCATATCCATTATTCAACAGGTGAGCCACCCTATCCCTATACCTTTCCCCGTAATCGCTATTTAATTTAATTTTCCTTTCGACACCACTTAACCTCAACATGGCGTTGGAGAAGGATTCAGGCATTTTACTGTTCTCATTGATCCAAGGTAAGCCGACTTGCCATCTGCCTTCAACCAGGGTCGCTGTCCGTTCCAGATGTGACCACGCTTGGACATCCTCTTTATTTTGTCGTGGCTGTAGTGACACCCCCAACGAATCTAAGTTAAAGGATCGACGTACCTCATCATGGAGTTCCGCCAACATGCGCTGTTCCACCTGAGCTGCTTCCAAGACCTCACCAAGATGTAAATTAATGTGACCGGTCATCTCCGAAGCCAAATGAGCAGGTACACGTCCATGCACACACCAACCGAGCGGAGTGAGGGTCGCACATGGTTCGTTAGCCTTACCTACAATTACATTTAAGGGCAATAATAAATTACAATTATCCTGGCCTATCAACAATTCAGGTGCAGTAGAAACATTACAAAGTTGATCTTTAATATTACAAAGGTGCTTAAATTTATTACAATTAATTCTAGAAAAATTGTTATATTTAGGCAAATTAAGTTTATCTACACTACGTGCAATTAAAGTATACACATCGCCATTGCAATTAGATATCTTAAAGTTCATTACAGTCGATTCACACACTAATTCACTAGAATCGAACGCGCCACTCACGCGCATCGTTTGGCGCTGGCCGCTGAGTCCAACGCGCTTAGCGAGCGCGCTGCTTATTAACGATATCGTCGAACCATCGTCCAACAGCGCACTTGCCCTAATTGTTCCGTTCGGACCGTGAATTTTCACAGGGACTACTTTTAATAACGCTTTACAATTTGTATTAATATTTGTAATCGTTTCGGATTGGCTTATATTCTCAGACTCAGGCACTAAGTTAAGATTTTCACAGTTACTTACAGTTTGTTCCTTGTTTACCGAATAGTGTAACAACCGATGATGTGCTTCTCCGCAGTTGTCCGTGTCACACACCGGCGCTGGGCACGTATCCCTATTATGGCGCGATAATAAACACTTGTAACAGATACCGTAACGTTTTACATACCGCCATCTGTCCTTGCGTAGTGACCGTTTGAATTGTTTACATTCTGTTAATTTATGCGGAGATTTTTTGCAGTATTGACACTTCATAGCGATTTTATTTTGTTCACTATTCACTAACAATGTATTATGCGAGCGTTCAGAATATTTAAATTTATTAATGTTGTGAACATTGCTGATTAACTGCACCGAAGATGTAGAAATTTTTACGGCTTCTTCATTTAAAAACTCTGACAGAATATCCAGTTTCGCCTTAACGCCGCCGGCAATAAATGCATAACTATAGTCTGCCCATTTAGAAATAAGTACTGTAGGTAACTTACTTAATATTATTGTAGTGACGCTTGTATCTTGAAGATATTCGTGTCTGTTTAATGCGCGTACAGCCGCGACGTAATTTTTTACTTTAATAGAAAATGGCACAATATCTTTATGGTAATCAGGTGATATGGGCTGTAGCTTCCTTATATCCTGCATGATTCTAGTTATGATGATGTCTGAATTACCAAACTGCAACTCTAAAGTTGACATCACTATATCAGGTGATGAAGCTGTGATAAGAAGAGCCGTAACTGCTTCTTTTGCCTGCCCACGAAGACATTTTCGTAGGCGCCATAAATTTTCTTTAGGGCTGAAGTTACATACCTGTGTGGATTCTTCGTATGCCAACTTGAATTGTAACCAGTCCATAGGGTCACCACTAAACATTGGTAAATCTTGCGGTGTGGATATACGGCTCAATAAATTACCATTATTCTGCTGAGATGTTGAGGCAGCGGCTAAATTCTTGAGTGCGCTGGCCAACATTTGCACTGTACCATTATCGTTACCGGCGGCGGCGTCACCTGCTGCCGGCGCACTTGGCCCACCCTTTGTAAATCCATTCTCGGGGGCAGGATGTTCAGGCTGTTGACTGCGCTCCAACCACTTCTCAACTTCCTCGTTGGTGTGCGACCTCGATGAGCGTGAACTGTGTTCCAAATCGACTAGATCAGCCTCAAGCTTTTTATCAATAAGTTCCATTTGTATACGTGCTTTTGCTTCCGCTGCTTCTAGCTCTAATTTTTTTCTCTGAGCACGTACTGACGATGATGTTGAATGTATGGACTTCAACGATGCCGAAGGTTTAGCAGGCAAACTCTTTGGCTTTGAGTCACTTTCTATATCCCGTTTGTTTTCAACCTCATATGGGTTTGCGGAGCCGTTGACTGTCCCTGGTCTTGTGTGCCTTCCAACTCCTTCCTTCTTGTAGCACGAGTTTTTGTCATTATTCGCGGTGGACTGTATAACATTACAATTTATGATCCGGCTCGAAGGACCACTGAAGTGGATCGATAGCAAATCAAGAACTCGTGCTGGTTACATAAAATGTTTATTGCGCCACACGGTGAAAATACAAATTGACCGTTAGATTCTTCAAAGCGCGGGACGACTTAAACGTATGTATGTGCACACCAGCGGAGACTGCGGCGACGACTGACCGCCAACAATGCTAGCGGGAATCGCTCACTCTTATCTACCTTAGGGATAATATTACAAATACATACAAGCTTACCTACACATATTTTATAAAATTTATAATAAATATTACATACAAAACAATGCGTCGCCAACAGACCTCATGTCCATTGTTAAGGAAATATTACGATTGAATATATTAGTCTGAATCGTACCCTAAAGGAGCTTTATGTTTTACCTGAAACCTTTTTTCAACATAGATGAGTGTAATTCGATTAGTGTAACGTGTGCTTTCATCCCTTCTAGAAACAAAGAAACTGTAAAGGAAGAAAACCTATGCAGTGGCGGTGTAAGAATACCCAATACCCTTACCTTACAACGTACGTGATTGTAAGCTATGTATTATTTGAAAAAACTATTGTCCCGCTGGGTTTCTTGCTGGTTCTTCCCAGGACAGAGGTGTTTTTTGCGAACCAGTGGTAAATAAAAAAGTGACTTTCAATAAGTATTGTTTATTTATTATTTATTTATTTACTTATAAGAATACAGCAAAACACATGAAACATTAACAACAACACGATAACAAATGTATATGGTTAAATATGTTTACCAATTACAGGTATACACAACATTTACCGTAATGTGTAGCTTATTATGTTATAATGGTACTGAATACAAAATAACTTGTATTAAGAAAAACTAAGTAAGGAATGAGCGTGTGCTGAGAGGGTGAAAAGAAATTGGTAAATTTTTTTTGAAGCATCGGGCAGAATCGTTGAATGTCGCTTACAATCTGTATTGAATAAAAAAGATTCTGTTTCTGTTTCTGTTTCCAATGTCGCCCCGTGGGTGTCGTGAGAGGCGATGGAGGAAAACTGAAATGGATGGACCACAGCATCTAGCTGAAAACAGCTCAAAATCGTAAGATCTGTGGTTGTTTACCCAGTTGACAATAATCCAGACCTGGAATAATTATTTGTAGGCCATACAAATATTTGTACCGTGCGGGCTTCGAATCCTCGGCCCATGACGCCGCAACTCAATGCTTTGCCATTGTGCCACAGTAGTGGATTTTTATAGGCTGTAAGGAAGAAAGTTAAATAAATGAGCGGTTGTGATGTCGATCGTGCAGAGTCCGGAGGGCGGTGTGTCGCTGGAGTCGGAGCGGTGGGCGGGCGGAGCGCGCTCGCGGCTCACGCTGGGTGCGCTGAACAGGCGTCATGCGGGCCGCTGGCGCTGCGTGGTTGGTGCCCGTTCCGCCACCATCTCGCTGCACGTGCTGCCCACCGCCGGTTGGTACCGTCGCACACGGACGCACACGAACACACACACACAAACACACACGCACATAAATGTCACTGTACGTGCTACCCGCCACCACCGGTCTGTACCGCAGCACACTGCGCACACACGCATATTATGCAAACAGACATGCACACGTAGTCAGACACGCATAAACACGCATGAGCGCGCACACGCACACAGACACACATAACCACGCACATGCACGCACACGCACACGCACGCATCTACAAATGTAAATGTGAAAAATGATTATTTCTCTATAATTATACTATAATTTCTCATTTAACGTGTTTAAAAATTTTATTGAAGAAAAATTGTACAAAAAGGCTTAAAATAATATTAAGGAATGAATGAATGAAAATAACCCGCAGAAGTGAGGTGATCGCTACCATACTGATTCGATTTATTGTGTTTTATGAAGATTTCACCACTAAAACACAAATGAAGTTAATACCTTTATTGATTGACAACATTACTGGAAGATCTTAATTTTGAAGTGAAAACTTCTTTAGCGGCGTTGTACACTTTTTTGTAATGGGTAAAAATGTTAAACTCGCGTCAGGACACGTCACCTGATCGAAAATTCGTAAGACGGATGGAGAGTAGACAGCCGGCGCGGCGTAGGAGAGGAAGTATCACCCTCTCTTTCTACGGCGCGGCGAAAATGTATGCCTGCGACTGCTGTTTCATTTAGGCGGCGCAGGGCGCTTGCGCGAATGTAATATTAATTGTCATGTTTGTGTACGATAGCGCAATAAATAAATATTGTATTCTACCACATAAATGATAGTACTTTTATACTGATAATTAAAGCAATTCGTGCAAAATTATTCCCTAACCATTCCAAAATATCAAAAATGCACAACGTTAATATTCAAGTTTTCACTTCTGCCGGCACTCCCGGAGTGACACCCGTCGTTTTTTTATAAGCCTACAATATGCCTTACATACTCAACACTATAATAATTCATAAAAAATGTGCAAAATTATTGCTAAATTATACGGTATGCTTCCTTTCTACTACTTTACTCTACCTGCTTACTTTGTCCTTCCTTTCAGTAAGCATCGTCTTATTTCTGAGAAGGTTGATAGGAGGAGAGAGACCACCTTTCACAATGCGTGTTGGCGAACTATGGAGTTGTATGTTACGTTTGAAAATTGAAATTTCTCAAATATTGTATAATGAGTAACAAAATATAAATTGCAAAATTTATTGTAAAATTTCGTCTTTCAAATTTAGTAAAATTACTGAAGGGGCATGCAAGTGTATAAGAGGTTACGTACAGGTGAAATCTTGTAAAGGTTTAGATAGCCATGGTGAGACAAGCCAACGAAGTATTTGGTATTGCCTTGTTTTTGTTTATCTAGAAGATATATTTTGAATTTATTTTTAAAATTGTATTTGCTGAAATGTTATTTGCTAGTAATAAATAAAATGGTGACAGACAGCGACATGGAAGCCATGCAGCGCGACCAAGCGGTGGCCCGAGTGAGCAGTGACGCACGCTCGCTGCCACTTCAGTTGCACCCACTGCGCCCGCTGCTCCTGGCGCTGCTGCTGGCGCTGCACTTGTGCGCGCCCACGTGACCGCGGGTCGCTCCTGTACTCTACAATGTGTTCTGTATATTTTGTGGCGATGTATATAGTGTAAATATCACAACTATTTATAAGCCCGTTGTAAATAAACATATTTCAATTAAATAGAGTTTCATTTATACGAATTGAAACAATTTTTATAACACACTGGGTCGTTAATAAATAGGTCATATTTAAAATTGCGTGGCGATAAGTAGGGTAATCCTCTATCTGCGAAAGAGGCCTATGTAATTATCTGCTAAGAGGGTACGAGCTGATGGTAAATGTGGTATGATGGTTGGATGGCGTTAAGAAGCAACGAAACAACGACTAAAACCAAAAAATGATTTATAGCATCTGTTTTATAAGACACCCCAAACTTTGTAAAAAAAATTACATTTAACGCAAATGAAGAAACACAACGGTATTTGTAGGAAATTGAACGTTATTTTGATATGAAACCAGAAATAAAACGCTTAATTCTTTATTTCTAAATGCTATTAACGAATCAAATGCCGAAAAAATCTAGTAAATTTATTATTTTAATAAAAAATTGTACAGCCCATTTCAAAAACTAATACCGAATGAACTATAAAATTTAAAGAGGATCGTGTGTTGTTTCTTCAATTCGGTTTCGAAGGACCATTAAAGAGGGTCAGCACTTGTGTTGGTTCTGAATCAATAACTCTTCACGTTGGCTGTCACAGTAGCAATCCGGCGAGTCTTCAAGTTCCTTACTTGTCGATCTAAGTCACACTACGTTGGGTTCGAGACAACGCAGTGGACGCACCCTTCGATAACGCCTACTTCAGAAACACACACACGCCTCTTTTTAAAAGGTGGTTGATGCCTGAGATTACGGATCCATGATGGAATGATGGATGAATGGAACTTAGCCGTGGAGATGTCGAATTGACCAACTGCGAATGGCTCCCCATAGGGGTGTGCTTTTCTAGCTTTACCGTTATGTAGGCTATGTGCAAAAAACTTTAGGGTCAACACCAGGAATGAAACAGCGATTTTCTTGAAAATTCTTGAGAAATCTGATAACCGGGAAACTTATTGAATCTTGATTTTGAACCGGAGATTTTTTCGAACTTAGCCGTGGAGATGTCGAATTGATCAACTGCGAATGACTCGCTATAGGGGTGTGCTTTTCTAGCCGGACCGTAATGTAGGCTATGTGCAAAAAGTCTCCTATCTCGCGCGCATTTTTCGTTATCACATTTCTCTTTCTGTCGAAATAACTTTACTATCAACAAAGATACATACAAAAACTATGCTTATCCAGAAAGAACACATAAGATTACATAATAAAAACAACCAAACATATACATTTTACATGACATTAATAAAATAAAAAGCATTATTACGTAATTTACATCTACTTATGTCAACAAATATTGTTCAATTTACACAGGTCTTATCATAATTAACACTTGTCTTAAACAAATAGACAGCTAAGATAGAAAACGAAGCTTTAATCGCATTTTTTAAATAAAATTATAAGCAATTTTTATCTACAAAATATGAAAAGAGGCTATCGCGCTCTCACTCTAGCAATAGCTATCTATGTTTTTTTCTTATAACATACATATTCACTACTCTGACATTCTGTTATCTCTTTCTTTCTTTAACAACAGTGAAAATTTCTTAGAAATAATTATATCAAACAATATTTTGAATTATTTTAATAATTTTTACCTTTAATCATTTAATATTTCGGTTCGTGTTGCGTAACCGATAGCTACGTAAGTGGCTTTAAGTTAGAAACAAATACATATACCCTTCACTTCGTTCACATGACATTCATACATTCACACACTGTCTTAAGGTTCAGGGGTTAGCCTTTCTATAAACATTGATTTTAAAGCTAATTTAATGCTTGTGATGCTAACAATCTTCCCGACATACGCCAGTACCATTATAAGGGCAGCGTCGCAGGTACCAGGACTATTAAACGAGATGTAGGCCTCCTTAGAATGCCTGTTTTCGTGATGACGTCCACAACCCTAGTGTGACCGTCTTCTCCCGGTAACGTCCTATGCACTTTACCTCGTGGCCATGTATTACGTGGTAGCGAATGATCTACGATCAAAACAATGTCGCCCACCTTAGGCTCCATGAATTTGCTACAGTCGCCTGTTAGAGTTATCAATGTAGGCATATATTCCTTTATCCGTTTTGACCAAAATTGGTCTGCTAATCTCTGAGCCGCCTTCAAATTCAGCTGACCAATTCAATGTGGTGGATAAACCACAAATAAACCAGGTGGACTATCTCCACAAAAAAGTAAACTCACGGAGAAACTCAACGTGTCTTGTTTAATGTTCCATATTAAACCTAATGTTCGCTCTGCATGTTCTCTATCGCCTAAAGAGGCGCTTTCAGGTTTCTGGTTGTTTTCGCGGGTTGCTGCCTTCGACGAATTATTATAATTATGTTGAAATGATTTATGCAAAATAGAATTATGCGCTTTGTTACGGATCGCCGTAACGCCGTTCGAAAAATAAATAAAACGCGTTGGCCTTGCTTAAATAGAAGGCTTTAATGTGCGCTGCGATCTTTGATCACTCTCTTGCTGGGTTTCTTCCGTTGCAGTCGTTTTATCTGTTTTTTTCTCTTTTTTTCCTTTTCCCTTTTTTTTTTTTTTTTTTTTTTTTTTTTTTTTTTTGTTTTTGTTGCTTCCCCCCCCAGAACATTTTGTTTTTTTTTTTTTTTTTTGATGGGGCGGGGGCGGGGTGTTCGAGCGTTTGTGTTGTGGGGGGGGGGGGGTTTTTTTTTTTTTTTTTTTTTTGGGTTTTTTTTTTTTTTTTTTTTGCCGTGCAATGTGAACCCTCCGTTTTTTGGGGGGGGTTGGAAAGCGGGGGAGGGAGGTTGAGAATGCTCATAGCATTCCACGCAGCCGGCTGCGTGGTTATGTGGAGACTTTTACCCACTAAACTCAACCTTTTGGGAATTGGCTTAACGATCTGACTAGAGATCTCTAAGCCGTATACGAACGCGACCCTCCTTGGCAGAAAGGAGGGCGCAAGCGGCGAAAAGCCGCTTAGAAAGGTGCCTAACTAAGGCAGATTAATGGATGTGTTATGTCGGCTCGGCCTGAGCCGCCAGGAGGCAGTTCAGGTCAGCCGAAAGCTTGTTGGGGGGGGTCAGAGAGATAGTTTCTCGGTCTGCTCACACTATATCGAGTGTGGATAGGGGCTGCATAGGCAGCTGTCTCACGAATGAGATGATTTGGGTGGGACTCTGAGGCTTTGAAAAATCTCTCAGAGAGTGATTTGAGGAACTGCTGGATTGTTGGGAGCTCTAAGTCTCGATGTAGGTCGGCATTACGGACATAATAGGGCGAGTTAGTGGCCCTACGACAGAATAGATTTTGAACTATTTGAAGTTCATTGATAGCTTTGGGTTTAGCGTGTGCAAAAATGGGGGCCGCGTAGGTCATGACAGGTCGTATGCAGACCTTATATAGGGTTCGCTTGTTGCGGAGGGACATTTTACTGTGTCTGCCCAACATGCTGTTGAGCCTACCCATGTAAAAACGTGCGGTGCGAGTAACCTTCTTGATATGGGGCTCGAAAGTGAACCTTGCATCAAGGGTGACGCCTAGGTATTTGGCTTTAGTTTGCCATGGGACAGGGGTTCCTAACATCCTGATTGGCGGAGTGGTGGTGAGGCGACGTCGTTTATATTCGAAGCAAACGGCGGAGCTTTTCTCCGGGTTTACGTCGATACGCCATTTTTGGAACCAAGCTCCTAAGTCGCTTACTGACTTTTGGATCTTGTTCCGAATCTGTGGTAGTGAGTTTCCTTTGGAGTAAAGGGCTGTGTCATCTGCAAAAAAGGGCTAGTTTGACACCATTCGACGGGATAGGGATGTCGTTGGTGAATAGTATGTATAGGAGGGGAGCAAGCACAGAGCCTTGAGGGACACCGGCTTTTATTTGACGGGTAGAGGATAGCGTGCCTTCGTGTCTAAAACGAAAGGTACGATCCTTCAGATAGGAGGCTACAAGGCGAACGAGACGATCTGGGAGGCCTAAGTCGTACAGTTTGTAGATAAGGCCCTCGTGCCAGACTCTGTCGAATGCCTTGGCAATGTCAAAGAAGACCGCGATGGTTTTTTGACGGCGAGGGTAAAAACCGCTGAGGATGTATTCCACTATGCGGTGAACTTGTTGGGGGCACGAGTGTTTGGCTCGAAACCCGAATTGTTGTGGGATGATAAGAGGGTCGCCGTCTGTGGGAAACAAATGGCGCCTCAACCGCACGAGAATGACTCGTTCGAAAAGTTTGCCCATGGCTTTGAGGAGGCTGATGGGACGGTGATTGGAGGGGAGGTGGAGAGGTTTGCCTGGCTTGGGAATGCCAATGACAGTTGCCTCTTTCCAAGAGGTGGGAAAATAACTGAATTCGAAGCAGGCGTTAAAGATAATGGCCAGTAAGGCGATTACCTGCTCCGGGAAGTGTTTGAGGGCTTGGTTGGAGATACCATCCGCACCCGGTGCTTTTTTGGGCTTAAGTCCTTTGATGGTAGATGAAATCTCATCTTTGGACACAGTGATAGGGTCAGAGGCGGTAGGGGGCGAGTTCCTGCGTCGGACCTCGTCCTCCACTAGTTGAATGTGTAAGGGGTCAGTGGGTTGTGAGCTAGGAGAGCATTGAGCGGCAACGCTGTCCGCGAAGCACTCAGCTTTTTCTTCGTCTTCGAAGGCAATGGAGCCGTCGGGACGAGACAGAGGGGGGAGTATGGGTTATAGCGTCTATCCGGAGGGCTCTCGCCATCCGGTAGTACGCTGTGTGAGAGGGAGAGATTTTCTCCATGAGATTGCCCTTTTCGTGGTCTCTGTAGTCTTGGAGGCGGTAACGCAGTTTGCGTTGAAGGCGGTGGGCCGCGAGTCTATATTCGGGAGTGGGATAGCGTGCAGCTCTACGGAGGGCGGCTTTTTTGGCTTTTAACAGGTTGCTAATATCTAGGGGAAGACTAGTTTTTGCAACCGGGACAACTT